CCTTCCTGACTTTCTGACTTATACACTTCAATTATTTAACCCTAGAACCTAGATCCTTTCTTCACCCTAGACCCTGAACCCCAGACGGTACACCCTCAACCTCAAACCCCAAACCCTGAATCAACACCCTAAACCTTACATCATCGGGCCAAGATCAGATGGCTAAAAAGATAAGGTAGCATACTGTGGATGGAAGAAAGGGTCTAAGGTTCAGGGAATCCCTACCCTAAACCCTAAATCCCTAGACCCTAGTCCCTAAACCCCAAACCCTAAAATCCTAAATCCATAAACCCTAGAACGCGTCACGTTCTTGTGGGTCCCAACAAGAGGGACTCGGGTTGCGAGTGTGGTAGGTTGGGGTATGGATAGAGGGGTTCTATAGGGTTTAGGGATTCGGGTTTAGGGTTATATAGGGTTTATATAGGGATTATGCAAGAGAAAATGGAAGCTACCATTTAAAATTCAAGGTTTATGGGTCCTAGTCCTATAGGGTATATACTGGGGATACAGTGGGAGAATGGAAAATAAATTGTAGACTACTGTAATGAAGGAACACCCTGATTTATAGAAGCCACCAAATCGTGCACTACCACCATAAATCTCCTGCACACTAGGCCGATCTTGCAGTATATTGTTGATCTCAGGTGGTGCGTTGTTTGCATCCACCTTAAGATGTGTTAGTGGCCTTGGGCTGAGATTGTAGCAACTTGCTAATTTTCAAAAAGGGGTTTAGGGGTTTAGGGCCGGTAGGAAATGTCTTAATGGAAAATACGTAATGGACACTACCATTTAGTTTAGGATTTAGGGTTGTTACCAGGGAAGTGCGCAATGGCTCACCAGAGTAGCCACTATACTGACCCCATAAGGTCCCCATTAATATGGTGGTTGCCATGTCCTTTTCCATTCATTCCTTCCTATAGTAGATTCCATGTCCTTTTCCTTCCTAAACCGTTTTCCCTTCATCCCCCAATCACAATCCTAAATCCCCTGACGGCTAGGTATCCCGATAAACCTACAGTTTCCGTTAAATCTTGAATTTGCTTTGCCATTTGACTTTCCGTTCCCTACCAGCCACCCCCAACTCAAAACCATGAAGCTCAAACCCTAAATGACACAGTAGAGTCCATTCTCTTGTACATTCCTTCCTTCCCTGAATCATCTCTATGTAACCCTAGCTTTAAATTGATGTTTCTATTTGTTTGTTGAAGTCGATTCTCCTGTTAAATCATAGCTTCCATTTTTCCATTCCTCCCAACAGCCCGCAAGGCCCTGCCCTGAACCCTAAACTCTAAACCCTATACCCTAAACCCTATAGGTAATGCCTGCAGTCCGCATGATCTGGGGGGGGGGGGGGGTCCAAAAATCAAGGGCCCCTTTTTCTATAGTCTCCTTAGACCTATCAGAAAAATCGTATTTCAAACAATTCCTCAGGGTTCTATTATACTAACAATTAAAAATAAATGCTAAGGAGACTACAGCTCTGTCTCGATGAGGACTGTAGTAGGTTGGGGCCTAGACTTGGGTCCCAGATTTTGGGAAACCCCCCCCATCGGTTTTTAGTGCATCCAATTCGCCCCCTTCTTCACTAACAGTGTCAAACCACTGCCATGCAATCTGGGAGATGTTGCTCTTTTGCTCCGTGCAGGCTTAGAATTTATAGGGTTTAGGGTACCTCGCGGGGATGTAGCCTCGCTAGTTCTAGCCGGCCGCCGTATAAAAATCTTATTCCGACATCACGACTATGGCAGAGACAATGGGGTCGCTGTTGAAGAGCTTCTACTTAATGCTTAGATGCGGTGGCTCCTTCTGAACTGCTGCTTCTGATACTCCCAGATCGACTCTCCAACTTGCGGGTGGCAGGCAATGGAAGGGAAAAGGGCGCACCCTGTTGCTTAACCCTAAACCTGAACACAACGTTCATGCTCAGGAAGCTTCCGAACACCCTCACCCTCCTTGCCATGCATGCAGTCATACGCAGTCAGCTGCAGAATAGGATGCCGGATTTCCTATAGCAGTCGGTTGAATGCCAGGCCGGACTTGCAGCGAGAAACCTGAGTGAATGCAGGTCGTGCATGGACAACCTGTCAATGCGTCTCCCCTTAAGGAATATGGGTCTCTTTAAAGGGTTTATATAGGGGTTATATAGGGATAATGGAAAAGAAAATGGAAACTACTATTTAGGTATCAAAATTATAGCCAACTATTATTGCTATATGCACTATTCTTGCAATTATCATATTCAAAAGGCTACTAATCATCGTACTAAGAACAGTAGGCAGGTTATGGCTGTTAGGAAGCCGCATGATGTGGACTGGCTTCTCTGCCTGCACTTCTGAAACCAAGCCTTTGTCAGCAAAAACGTCCTAGGCGGAGCCATGAAAGGGGGGCCAGATATATACTCCCTATATAATCCCTATATAGCCCCTAATAATCCCTAAGTAATCCGTATATGGTAGTTTCCCTAAATAAGGGCACCCCAATATAGACCCCAAAATACTATAGACCTTATTATAGGGACCGCCCAAAATGGTACCCTTAATGTTGGGAAGCCTCCAAGTATCTCTATTTTAACTCCTATCATCTGCAGCGGTTGGTTCTTGTTACTGTAAGTCTTGCACCAGCCTCCTGCTTGAGAGAGCCAAGGCGGGTACATGCATGGGTTTAGGATTGCGGATTGAGGGCTTAGAGTTTGCTACGCAAAGCCGGTGATTGGGGTATATCATGTAGAGGCCTGTCCAATTTGAATGGGGCATTGGGGCACACTTTCCTATAGTGCTATATAAGACTTACGGGGGTATAACATTGCCAAGCTTCTACAGCAAACACCATTCCAGCCCACATGTAATCAAGTTTCCAAGTCATGTTCCGTGTCCTTTAAACCCTGAGCCCTGAACCCCATGTGTCGGTAATTCTTCAGACTCCTACGCCCTTTACCCATCAAATCCCTATAAGCCTGAACCCTATATTAATATCTCTCTATGCCTTACAGCCTGTTTTAAAGAGCCCCTTTCCTAAACTCTAAACCCAGAACTTCTTTAATTCGAACGGCGGCTTGTGCGGCTATTTCCTTCATGATGCCTAAACCCTATACATCCCTATAACCTAAACCCTATGTTTACCTATGGCTCCTATAACCCGCTTTAATGGGCCCTTAGCGGGTAATTCCTACATGATGGCTTGCAGGCGCGTGTCGGCCACTCCCCAAGTGTTGCGCAGAGACGGACGTGTCGTAAGCTGTGAAAACACCAACCTCAGTGGTTTGGGGTTTAGGGTGTCTGCAAGGACCTCCTGCAGACCCATAATAACAATAAACACTATCATTGCAATAACAACAAACGGCAGAAACAATCCGCAATGATACTGACAAATAAGGTGATGATAGCAATCCAACCCTAAACCCAAACGCATGATTTTGGACTAAAATGCTATGTCTACGGGGCAAGTCACGGGTCAAGACGGCCCGGTGAAGACGCTAAAGAACTAATCGCCTGAAACGGTAGGATTGTATAGTTATATAGGGATTCTGTAGGGTCAATGCGGGGGTAGCCTAGGATCCAATCAAATGACCAAGAAGGAAGCTGAATCGAATATTGATATTTAGGGTTTACGATTTAGCGTGTGCGGTCTCGGAATGCCAAGGTATACCAACTGCCCAAATCAACACGACCTTGCTCCGTGCCCTCAAAAAAGAAGCCTGTGTGAAACACCCAGCTACCATAGGTGGAATCCCCACCATGCAATCGTGGCGTAAAAGGATTTTTTAGGTAGACCCCCCCACCGTGCAATAGTGATTTTATTGGAATATAGGAGGGCCCTAAAATGTAATCACCATTATCCCGCGGGGGTCCCTAAACCCTAAACCCTAAACCACGGCTACCACACACACATCCTGCCCAGCAGCGATCTCGAAAGAGTCGGGCCCTGTTGCATCTTTCCGGCGTCGTGCGCGCAGGTGTCCGGAACACTCCTGTAAACTAGCTTGGATGATAATAATGCTAGTGGAGAAGTAGTGGTAAAAGAGTAGAGGCAGAGGTAGTAGTAACCACTATTATCATTAGTAATAATTGCAGTAGCAGCAGTAGTAATGAAGATCATGATTTCAGTATAGCAAAGATAAGGAAAATATCTTTGCAATCATAAGACTGGTGCGGATAACAATAGTATTAATACTAATACTAAGAAGAGGAAGAATAACCTTAATGCCACGCATCGAGGCGGTCACATCAGCTGCAGGAACGTCACTTTTGATACGGAATGTTGCCACATGATTACACAGTTGAATCTTATCGGTTAGAAAAGGAGGCATGGACAGCAAAATGGAAGCTGCTTTTTTCAGTTGTGTAGTGTCATTCGTAAAGATTGCCGGGTTGCTGTTAAGAAACTTCAAGAAGTCACTATAACGAGGACACTGGAGGAGGGTCGACTCTGCAAAACCCAACAACGGTTGTTTCCATGTCTTGGTTGCCGGAGCCTTTTGGAAAATGTTAATGTACAGGGTCCTTATGAAACCTATACAGGAAAATATTTGACTACCCCAAAGGCCAACCCAGATTTCCTTTCGATTCCTTCATTCCGTCCCAGCAGACGGCAATGAAGACCTGCCTCCAAAGAGTCAGGCCAACTCGATGAGCCACTCCTGCTCTGGCAAACGCCTGTAATCCCGAACCCTAAATACTAAACCGTATATGCTAAACCCTAGACCCGAACCCTACCCTAAACCCTATAACCCCTTAACCCTAAACCCGACACCCCCTAGACCCGAACCCTAACCCTAAACCCTACACCCCCTAGACCCAAACCCTGTAGTTATAAATCCTAAGCCCTAACCCTAAACCCTAAACCACATAGACC